TTTTGCCAGCCCTGGGGACAATCAGCTCTATTTTCGGTGCAGAGCAGGACGGTGCCCTATATGGCCCAGAGAAGGGGGGCGGGGGTGGCAGATGGGTGCTGCCTCTTCCACCTTCTGCAGTGGGTCCCTGCAGGGAGCAGCATGTCTATACTGGGAGGAGCAGTAGGTTCATGCTGGGAGCAGTGGGTCTGTGCTGGGCTGTGCCCTCTGTGCCTGCCCCAGCCCAGAGAGGGGGACATGCAGGGATGGAGAGGCCCCTGGTCCAGGGATGGGTTCACACCTTGGCTTCTGCTCTGCACCATTTCTGACAGCCCCGGGGTGCTGGGAAGGTGCATGCGGAGCCAGAAGCAGCTGAGGCTCACCTGACCAGCGTTGTTTGGGTTGGTCAACACTCGCATCCTGAGCCCCTGCTGCGCTTCCAGCCGCAGCTTCGTCACAGTTACAAGAGAAACAGCTCCCTGCTGCCAGCGCAGCCCCGGCCAAGGGGAAGCACTTGAGCAGGTTTGATGCTGGGCACCCGCACGCTTTCCAGGGAAGCCTCACTGTCTGTGTCCTTCCCTGCTGGCCCTGGGTGCAATGAGCTGGTGGGTCTCGGCAAGAACGTGCCTGTCCTGATGCTGCCCTGCAAGCCACGGCTCAGGGATGCGGAGGGCAGGGATGCCCCAGCAGAGTGTGTGGGTAGAGCGGTGCCAGCACCATCCTGCCGTGCTGCCGCTGTGCCAGGGAGCCAGGGCACGTCCCCAGGGAGCGGGAGGGAGAGGCACAGCGGGAAATGGCTCCCCTCCCCGCGCTGCTGCGCTGCCAGGGCTGCGCCCAGGCCTGCCGGCAGCAGGGACCATGCAGAGAGAAGGGTCAGGGAGTGCAATAAAAATAGATCCCTGTGACGCTCGGTGCTGCTGGCTCTGGCTTTGAAGCATGTTTGTGATGTGGGCACAGCCCCAGGGCTCGCTTCCACCTGCTGCCGGACACACGTAGCCTCGTTCCCCGGGTCAGCCGCCCCCGGATGGAGATAAGAATGGAGGGAAGGACCCGATTCCCCCGTCAGATGCTCCGGGCGCAGGCGGTCCCGGCCCTGCAGCCCCCGAGCAGGCGGCTCTTGGCTCTCTGTGGCCAGGGTAGGGCTGCGTGGCCGTGGGCGAGTTGTTGGAGCATCTCGTGCCCCAGGGAGGGGTTGGGCACAGGGCCCTCCCGTGGGAGAAAACTGCAGCCGGGGGTGGTTCGGCTGTGCCAGCCGAGGCTCCCGGCACCCGGGGTGAAACAAGGTTTTTGGTGCACCCTCAGCAGGTGCCAACAGGCTGTGGCCCGGGACTGGCTCCGGCCGGGATGTCACCTGGCGCGGGGCTGGTGCCGCGCTCTACCCGCTGTGCAGCCTGCCTGCCCAAATGCTGGCCACCCCCGGGGCTCACCCGCGGCCCCGGGACAGCTCTGCGCTGTGCCAGCACCATGGCACGGTGCTGGTGGGGCCAGCTCAGCGGCAGGGTAAGCGGGACGGCCAGCCTGGTCAGCGGGGCCAGGAATGAGGCAAAACCACCACAAACAAACCAACCCCAGCCAGTAACTGAGAAGGAGGCAGGGGGGGTGTCAGGGCTTTGCTGCCCGGCTTCACCGAGGGGCCGGCAGTGCCCGCAGGAGGTTGGTTTTGGAAGGAGGGCTGCAGCACCAGCAGCCACCGGCCTGGTTTTGGCCACCCTTCCCTGGGCACCGTGTTGCTGTCACGGGGGCCTCGGGCACTGCAGCCCCTCAGCATCCCCATCTCAAGCTTCATTTGCTGCTTGCTGCTGAACTGAGAGATTTTAATCTTTTAATCACATTATGAGCCGAGGTGGTGCCGGCCACGCACAGGAGGAATGTCTGGAAGTCAGCAGCGCCCGGCGTGGCGGGAGCCCATCCTGCCCCCACCCACACGTCCCCACCGTGTCCTGCCTGGGGACCCCCATGCTCCCCAGCCTGCCTCATCCTGCCTGGGACTGGGACTGGGACCAGGAGCAGAACCTGGGACCAGAGACCAGGACCAGGCATCAGGGACCACGGACCACGACCACGCCAGGTAGCAGGACCAGGACCAGGACCAGCTAGCGAAGGGCTGCTGGGGCTGAAGCTCCCCTGCCACATGCACATCTGACACACGTCCCTGCGGGCAGCAGCAGGAATGAGGGATGTTTCTGTGCATCCCGGAGTCCGGCCACGGAGATGGGCTGGCCGGGCTGCAGGCGAGGAGTATTGGAGCAGGCGCTCAGAGCCTCTTCCATGGACCCGACCCAGGGTGTGAGTCCCTGACATATAATGGCAGAGAAAGGGGATCAGGGTGACTTTACACTGAGAAAAGGGTGTGGAGTGGTGGGGGGTCTGGGAAGCCCGAAGGACCCAACACGATAACCCCACCGGGAAACAAAAGTCCCTTTGTTTTTGCTCACTGCTGGTGTTTTGTCGGTGGGGAGCGGGAGGAGGCTGCTGCTGGCGCTGAGCACGTCAGGCAGAGCCCCGTGTACCGGGGGGCTGCTTTTGCAGTGCCCGCACCCCAGCTTTTATGGTGCTGATGCTTTTACAGCCTGCGCTGCCGCTGCACAGCCCTGCACTGCCAAGAAACCCTCGTGAGGCTTCACGCTGCTGCCAGCTCGCTGCCCTGCATCACCTGACATCACCCCACACCACCCCGCATCACCCCGCATCGTCCTGCATCGCCCCGTGTTGCCCCCTCCCCAGCTGCCCCCAGCCTGAGGCAGGACGGGGCTGCGGACCCTGGCCGAGCCTGCGCACGCGGCTGCAAGTTTTGGGGGCAAGGCCAGGCAGCCGTCAGGGGGAGAATATATTTCATGAAATGTCTGTCATGTGGGCATAATTAGAGCTTCTCGTTAGCACGGTGTTAGCAGCAGCGGGGGGCATGTTCTCAGAGGGGTGCCTTTGCAAGAGGCCCCACGGCTGCAATTAGGTGATACTGCCCTCCAGCCACACGGGTTTAATTACTCCGTTCCCCCGTGTTTTCTTCCTGAGGGGAGTGGACGGGCATCCCGCAGCCAGCCCAGCTGGCGCAGCGAGGCAGCGCAGAGCCACGGCAGCCCCCGCTGAAGAACAACAAAGCCCTGGAATTAGAGATGTGCTGGGAGTTTACTTTACCGCAAAAAAATGTCAGAAATCCGTATTGTTTGGACAGGGATTTGCTGGGGATCACTAGATAAAAGCCTGGCAGGGACCCAGCCAGGGGGAAAAAGTCAGCCAGCTCCTTTCTCGTGGTGGGGGCTTGCAGCTGAGCGAGGGATGCACTGCACACCAGCGCGGGGGGTTTTGGGGCCAAGGCACAGGCAGGGACAAGGACAGTCGGTGCCTTCGTGAGCCAGAGCAGGACCTGGGCCTGGGTGCAGCAGGGGGCAGGGAAGGGGATGTCAGGCTGCCCTGTGACCGGCACCGGCTTTGGGTCTTTGCGGTAGGAAACATTTCAACCGTGGCAGCATCCTGGGACACCAGCCTCAGCTGCCCAGTGACGGCTCTGCGGCACGAGGAGCCCGGCCACGACGGGACACCCGGCTGGCGTGCAGGGCTCGCCGGTGCCGAGGGGTGCCTGCACTGGCACATATGGACAGGAGGGGGAAGGAGCTGGGCCGGAGAGACTGCTCTCACCCCTCGGGCCCCCCCACAAGCTACACGCTTGCCAAATTTTGCAGCGGGGTCAGGGCAGCTGCTCCCGCCGTGCCCACGCTCAGCTGTTCTCCTCTCCCTTTCCCGCTCTCCCTGGCAGCAAGGCTCAGCTCCCGGCTGCTGCTGCTCGGGCTCCAGCTTGGACCTGGAAATGCCAAATCCCCTTTTCTCCCAGGACCCAGCAGGGTCTGTTCCCCCAGGTCTGCGCTCGGGACTCCCTGCCCCTGCGCTGCCCAGCCTGGGGCCCGTGGGTGCAGCCGTAGCACCGTGCTGGGTGCTGCCAGGGGGATGTGGGGTGCCCTCCCCAGGCCCGGCGTGGGGAGCGCTGCTCGGAGCCGCACCAGCCAGATGTGCAATGAACAGCAGCCATGTGTGCCAGCAACCCCTGGGCACAGCTGGGCGCGGGATGGGGATGGTGAGCACCCGCCCTGCCCGACTTCGGGAGAAACAACAGCGCACGCAACCCGGTTTCACATCTGTTATTTTTTTAATACTGTTCACGTCTAAAATGACCAAAACCAAGCCAAGCGCTCCCGACCCCTTGCCCTGCCTTAGGTGGAGAGCAGGAGAGCCGCGGGCTCCCCGGGCCGTGCGTGCCTCCTCCCTGCCCGGTGCTGGGTGCAGGCAGGTGTGCAGGCAGGGCACCCCGGCACTGCAGGCAGGCTGCTCTGCGCCCGCTGCCGGGAGAGGGGCCTTTGCACGGCTCTGGTGAATGCATTTAAATAATACGCTAATGAGTGGCAAAAGCAAAAGGCATCTTAATCACGTCTCCTAAAATAGCAATCGGCAGCTGTTCCTCCTGCCCCGGCAGCGAGGGGGCCCTGCCCGCCCCGCGGTGGCTCGGGGCAGGCGAGGGCACGGTGCCCAGGCGGCACCGGGCTGTTAAGGCAATCGCACCGCTGGCAGCCGGCGGTCACGGTAAGCACGCGGTCACGCAGGGAGCGGTGCTGAGGCTGGGTGCGGCGCGGGTGGGTGCTCAGTGCGGTGGCGTGGGGCGGGTGCTGCCACATCACCGGCGGCGCAGACCCGGCTGCCTCCCGTTGCTGCAGGGATGCAGGGCTGGGCTCCTCTCCCACGTCTCTGGGAAGGCAACGCCGGCTGAGCTGCAAGCTGTGGGGCAGCCCCACAGGCCCCAGAGGCCACGTTGTCATGCGGGTGTCTGCGGGGGGCTGCGCTCACCTGCACCCCCTGCCCCAGGATGCAGCGGGCATGGTGCAGGTGACTGGGGCACGGCGGGTGGGGAGGGCTGGGGGGTGGAAGCCGGGGTCTCGCCGCAGCCCTGGCCGGGGTGCCGGGGCACGGCTGCGATGGGGGACCCCGGCCGGGCACGGGGCAGGGTGGGCGCAGGGGTGCAGCTGGGACCCGGCCGGGCACTTAGACCACGAAGTGGAGCCTGTATGTCATCTGATGGCCGTTGTCCCAGGCGTAGAGCACCTTCTCCTTGGGGTTGTAGTCGACCTGCGTGGTGAAGGCGTACTGGTTGAGGAAGGGCAGCCGGAGCTCTGCCTCCGTGTCCGTGTGCGTGTCGAAGGCGTAGGAGATGTGCCCTTCCTTCTGGCTGTAGGTGTCCACGGCGTAGAGGATGCCACAGATGATGAAGCAGTTCCCGTAGGCGTTGCGCTTCAGCCCCGTCTTCCAGGTGGTCTCCCTGCGCACCGAGAGGTCCCCAGGGTCGAGTCGGCTCAGGACGATCACCTCCTGCTGCGAGTAGTCGAAGTCCACGGAGGGGTAGATGACCCAGAGCCCGCTCTCGTCCACAGCAAAGTCAATGTCTGAGTGGCCCCTCCACTTCCAGGGCGTCGTGTCCTCATACACCACGTCATGGAGCAGCGCCCAGCCCGCCACGTACCGCTCCTTCAGGTCGTACTTGATGATGTTCTTGGTGAAGGCGCGGTTGTAGTAAAAGGCTCCCCGGTACACCACGTGCCCGGTGCCTATCCAGTTGTAGGGCAGCTTGTAGAGGTTGCTCCAGCGGCCTGTGAGTGGGTGGGAGAGGCGTTGGGACCCCTTGCAGCACTGGGGTCCCATGCACAATGGCCCGAGAGTGCCAGCAGCGGCAGGGGGACTTGTGTCCCCCTTGCCGCCCCATGAGTACTCCCCAGCACAGGTCCCCATCTGCTGCCCACCACCACGGGGCCCGGCACAGCCAGCGCTGCGTGGCGCTGGGCACCCACCCAGGAGAAGCTGGGGCCCCTGCGCCCGCTCGGCCACCAGCCCTCACCCTGCTTGAAGTTGTCCAGGCTCCTGAACTCCACCAGGCTGTTGCCATAATAGTAGTTGGTGACGTAGATGCGGTCATCCTTGGCCACCGGGTCCTTCATCCAGGCCCCCTCGTTGCGCCCGTAGCTGTGGTGCTCTGTGGGGGGCTCCACCGACTCGATGGTGCCTTCGCACTCCACCTCCTTCACTGGGTACCGAGGAGGAGGAGGAGGAGGAGGAGGAGGAAGGCTTACCCCTGCCCCAGGCAGCCTGCCTCTGCCAGGGCCGGGAAGCCCTTCACCGTGCCAGGGCTATTGCTGGCCCAGCCTGGCCATGGGTGCTAGGACCACTGGGCCGGGTGCCCCCCTCCTAGCCCCACCGCTCACCTACCTCTGTTTGGTGTTTCAGGGCCCCCGGTGCTGTCAGCCCCCTGCCCACGGACGGTGGCGGGGTGGCTGCGGGCAGTGGTGCGGGGGGCCGGGGTGGTGCTGGGCGCAGCCGTGGTGCTGGGCACGGTGGTCTCTGCCTGTGCGATGGCTTGGGCTGGGGTATCCTCAGCTGGGGGGGGCGGGGGGCCCCTCTCCTCCTGCCGCTCCAGTGCAGCCGCCCCCCTCACAGGGCTCTCTGCGGGGGGGACGAGCCAGCGGGTCGGTGTGTTTGTGGGGGC